TATAATTAAAATAAACTAAATTAACAATAATATTTGTGTTTCAAAATATAATTAGATTTAAATAAGTTGAAACAATTCAAAATTTGTGTGCATATGTAATTGAATAAATTATTAGGAATTAATTAAATATTTTAAATAAAAACAAACAGAACTTCTTTTTAATCCATTAATTATTCACAACAAAATAACATTACTTTTGAAATTAAAATTTAAAATTATTCATTTGTATTTACTTTTTTTAATTTTCCTTTGCAAGAAGCGATTTAGAAATAGTTCACTTGATTGTGTATCCACGTTTTTTTTTGTTAAATAATTATAATATTTATATTATAATTATTTTTTTGATTTGTTGTGTTGATAAAACACTTGATTGGCATCCTGTACAGCGTTCACTTATATTTTAAATATTCTATATGAAATGATCCAAAAAAATAGTTACAATGCAAAGAAGATCAATTGAATTTGAAGTAATTTATAACACCAAATTACTCGTGTAAAACAGAAGAAAACTTGTGTTGGTTTCTGCCATTTTTATCAAAGAAAAACTTCCCAACTTTACAATGAAACGATAGCCGAGAAAAAGATGTCGACTAAATTAGATACAGAGGATTTAATTGAAAAGAAAAAAATCGTGTAATTTTATTTGGTGTTGTTTAAAAAGGGAAATTCAGAGTTAACAAATTTGCGATGAAAATATGAAAAAGTTTGGAAATGACAAAACAAAAGTTGATGTATTTAAGAAGAAATTAGCCATGTTAGACATATATAAAAGTGGATATCTCGTCCACTCTATGATGCTGTGTTTATATTAAACAAGATATGTATGGTCGCCGAAATTGCGAAGTGTGGTAGTTAAAACGATTTGATGAAACAAAAAGGCCGAAGAAGTCGAAGATAAGTTGTGCATTAAGTTTATGTATAATGTCGCAAATGGGTAACTCTATTTTAACACAATAAGATATTGTTCACAGAAATATTAATCCCGAAGATTTCTTGATATTTTCATAAAAACAATTGAAATGAATGCTAAATTGACATATTTTGGGTCATCACGAAATGTCAATATGTTGAATTTACTAACATGATATTCACAAAATATTGGTACTTAAAAATATATGTCGCCAGAAGTGCTAAATATAGAAATAATAGTTCTTATGTTTATTCTTTTGCGGTTACTTTGGATGAGTGCTATTAATTGGGTCGTATTTACAAGCCAATATTTTATATATTCTTATAATATTGCAAATTTTATATCTACTGAAAGTTGATATAAAATATCATATTATTATTATGAAGATATATATTATTTTGATGAAGATAAAAATAATATCTTCATCAAATATGAAAATATTACAAACAAAGAATATGATATTATCTAAATTTTTGGGGGCATATTCCAAATATAATAATACAAATAAAAAGAGTTGTTGATATGATGAAAGAGTTAATTGAAACTTTGCTCAATGATTAATTTAAAAAATACTAAATCTAATAAATTTAATCACAACTCTGAACATCACTATATAATGTTTTGATAAACTATTTTCGATTTATATTCAGTAAAGGAAGGCGAAAAAGTCGCACCACCAATTTATTGACTTCTCATTTTAAATTAAATTGTTAGATCCGTTGATACCCATCGACACAATCCTCCGCTCCCATTACAGCTGCAAAAACCTCTTGACGCACTTCTGTGTTCATATGACGTTTTCGTGTTATAACCAATAAGTCCTCACTTCTGTATTCATTTCAGGAAACACAAGTTGTCTCATTAAGGTACTTAGTGTGAAGAACTTCACTTTTGAATTGATCAGATCAGCTTCCCATTATTTGTTCTTCTAGTATAACATTTCTCAAAAAGTAAGGCAAAAAGTCAAGCCTTTTGCAACACATTTTCTTCTGTGTGGCATTGACTGAACGTTTTAGACAGTCAAGCAAATCAACGTTTTTTGTTCTAATGTATGGCCTGCAAGGCAGAATTTTACAATATAAATTGTTTCGTTCAAAGCTTTTGGTTGTTGCAAAGGATGGACCCGACCGTTAATGATGGTGATGACTATATCAAACTTCTTTTAATCTAGACTTCAAAACAGTGTCAAAAATAAAGGTATTGTTGATGATGCTAAATTCGTAGAACCCACACACTAAGATCAAACTGATTTGTAAGCTCTTTATTGTATAACGCCTGTAATAAATTCCCACACACCAATACTCACATTCCAATACAAAGCATATATTAACAAAAAATGGGAAGAATTTAATAAAGGGTCTCTCACTTTTGGGACTTTTTGAAAAGTAGAACTGATCATGAAATCAGTCACATACGCCTTCGGGTATTACTCAAACAAATTGTCATTGTACGTTTGACAATTCAAATGAACTCAAGGAAAGATGATTAAATGACCGCGAACACACTTTTGAATTCCGACTTCTGACGTCCAATGTTTATTTTTAAGTTTTCTTTTTGTGTGTTTTTCATGTTGAAAAAAAATGAAGTTCGTTAAACTTATGAACTATTGTTAATAAAGAAATCTTTATTTGTTATATAATATATCAACAATTTTGATGCAAACATAATAAAGTTTTAAGAATACAACTTATTGTGATAATAAATACCATTACTATTAACATATCAAAAAATGAATAATAGTATATTTAACATTGTTCAGTTGTCTTGTATACACACTCATCACCATTTGGTTTAACTTTGTTGCTTGCAGTCCATTCACTACACTCCTTTTGTTTAGACTTAAAATTTGCAATTCAATTTTATTTGACACATTGGAACGTTTGATATCAAACCATATTGTATAATATCGTACAATTTGTACACAATTCACCACATTTGTGCATTTGCAATGTTTCTTTTGATAATACACAACATAACACTTAACACATTCATATTTTGAAAATGTGTTGCAATTGTTAATTGTTTTGTTGATGACACACTTCTTATCTTTTCTTGTTCTAAATTTGACATCTTCATTATAACGAAAGACCAACAGAAAATTGTCATACACTTGAGTTTTTAGTATCAAACAAACCAAAAAATCGGGAATATTTTTTCACATATAAAATTTGACTAAACAATCAGGAAAATAATTGGGTTTTGAAAAAATAAAAACCCGACTTTGTACAGAAAAATACCTTAAAACAATGTGTACGACTATTTTCTGCTGTACGACAGTTTTCTGGTGCTCTTTACCATTGACATTACAGTTTATATTTTTTTAAAAAGGTTTAACACGACTCAAAAACTTCTATTAGTATTTCTATCAATCTATATTGATTGCTTTAAATGCTGCTCGGTCTGCACCACGACAAACTGTAAGTCGTAACAGTTTGAGTTTCTCTGAAAGTTAATTAACATTGATACAATCATCATATGTTGTGTCATAATTATACCCAAAAATACATGTAACACACTTATTTATTTTTATATCAACTTAAGCACTTTTGTCACATTTTAGACAGTACCACTTGGATAATACCCATTATTACACTGTTCACGCCCATTGATGTTGTTTTCTTTGTAGTAAACAGTCTTCATTAAAGTGTTAAATGTCGAATCATATTCAAGATACATTTAGAATTAGATTTGTGTATCGCGTTGAAAATTATCGTTTGCTGATCAATAGCAATTGCGTGGTATCCATTAAAAGACATTTTTGTTTTCATAATTTTTTGTTTTTCTTCACAAATTGTACTCATTTTGATATGTATAATTGAGTAGACATTTTGGTAATACACAGTGGACATATTAACAGACTTTGTGTTAATGATATTCGGCATTCTTCACGTGGAGCACATTGTATGTCGTTGTTCACTGTGATAATTGTACAACTGCAATGGATTTTGTCTTGACATAATCCACCGCCTAAAAATATAATACCCATTAGAACAAATAGAGCATCTACTCGATACCAAATTGAATACCAAACAATTTCAAGGTAAAATACAATTTCATTAACAACAATAAACTTTTGTTGTGTGATTGCAATTAATCAATGTAAATCAGTTTAAAAAATTAAACATGACTTTTGATTCAAAAATTTTAGAAAAAAATTTTAAATACTTTGATTTGAACACAAAATTGTTCTTTTTCCATTCATAATTAAGGAAAAAACTGAATTGATAAAATTGTAAAAAACTGTTATTTGTTAAACGGGAAAAACATTATTAATAAATTTTTAAGAAATATAATTAATTTATAAAGAATGTCAATAAAATATAAGTTTTATGAAGAACAATTGTTGTTTCCTTAACTAATTCAAAATTTTATTCATTATATCAATATCCTTTATAATATTTGAAATCCAATAATAAAAATATAACAGTTTAAACGTTATACTAAATAATAATAGTATTTTTTAATAATTAATAATTAATCTTAAATAAAATAAGTACGAAAATCAAACAAACAAGAAAACAATAAACTGGATTTAAAAGTCGACTACATTTAATTTAATTTAGTCTATTTTCATGCAAAACATTGGGAAAACTTACGTTTTTATTTATATTTTGAATTTAACTTTTGAATTTCAGTATATAATTTGAGAAATAAACAAAGGAAAAAACGTTTACATATTTAAGTGATATTAAAACACTTATTTATTCAGTTGATGCCAGAATTACTGAACTAAAGGTCGAAATTAATAACGACTATATAACACCGAAAACGTGAACTAAAATGAATGTGCAGTAGACCAACTGCTATTCAACAATTATTATTGTGAATATGAAATGGCTGTTTGTCCGGCTGTTTATTCCAGATTTAAAGTTTGTTACTATAATAAATTCTAACAATTTAGAACAATCAGTTTTCAAATGAAATCCTTTATGGGTGTTCTTACAAGTGTTATGATGGTTATTTTAGCGATGATTCAACCTCAACTTCACGCAAATTCGAGAAGCCTTAAGCAGAAAGCCACAATTACACTGATAGGACTAAATGCATCTTTTAGACAACAGACAAACATTCGTTTGAAAACATTTGAAATGTGAAGCAGCCACTGAACGTTATTTTGGTTACTACAAAGAGCAAACAACAAGATGTAAGAAGTGCAAAATCTGGAAACAATTGTTTGATGTGTGACACAGATTCAAAATGTTGTCTTGTATTGACAGATTCAAAACAATTATGCATGAAATACAATTGTTGTCTGTGGATACTTCAAATCATCAACACCGAATGTATCACGTGAACAACTGATAATTTCCAACCAGACAAAATTATCAAAAAAAATTGTCCAGAAACGTATTTTGCAAAGAAAAGGTGTGTATAACTTGTGTTGAAAATAACAAAACATGTATGGAAAAAACAAGTGAACTGTTTGCAAAACAAGATGCTTTGATTATTGAAGCAACCAAAAAGTGTTTGAAAGTCAACTATCCAAAAATTTATAAGCTGGTGCTTACGAAATGTTCAAGAAATGCAAAGAGTTTCTTGAACTCTATAGATTTATAGACAATCAGTTTATAAATTCGACTGATTGTCAAGAGTTTGTTGCACCAAAAATGTAAGAAGAAGGAACAATGAAATGTGTTAATAATTGAAATGGATTCTTTATATTAACAATTTAAAAATGTGATAAGTGAAATGACAAATTAAAAGATGTGCACAACAAGAGAAAATGTGATCAATGTAAAGAAAATTTTCTATTTCTATTTCAGAAGACATTTATAATACGCCATGCAAACAAAGCGACGCCGAATGTGAAGTTTGTATGAACAAAGTGGGTTATTCGGAATGTTGGTTGTAGTTTTGGTATTTGTCTTGATGATCACGTTCTAAGTTTCTTTTTGGTTGATTATGGTTAAAAATCGTGTCTAATATTGACTATATATCGATTATATAATTGTCATAATTTCAAATAACAAACAGTGAGAATGAATTGTTTAATTTAATATATCACTTATAAATTGATTTGACTTATTTATTAGTCTTAACTATATATAGTGGAAAAGGTATATCTAACCTTAACTTAACCACCATATCTAAAAACAGAGGTTAGAAAAACTTTATTACAAAAGTTTTTCTTGCACTTTGCCCAACTCACTCAAGTCTTTTTCTTTTGTGTTTTAAAACAGGGTCGGCCAAGGTCCAGTTTTTAAACAACTTCGTGGCAATCTCTAATACATGTCAGTTCATTTTAAGTTTTAGCATATTGTCAACAAAAAATTCAAAAAGTTTTTTGTGTAAAAATGTTTTTAAAAAATTGTTAAAACTATAGTTAAAGATTTAAACAAATTTTTAATGTGATCAAATTATCATTATATTGTGTAAAAATTTGGTTTTTAGAAAAATGTTTAAAAAATAAAAAGCATGTGTAATATTCCGTAACAAAGTAATTTAATTAAATAACAATATTCACCAATTATAATACTTGAAGAGACAGAAAATACTTTTTAATAACAAAAATTATTATACATAACTTAAGTGATTTTGACTTAAAATAAAATATTTTTGAAATTTGATTTATATTTTTTCAAAATGTACATGAATATGAATTATTAAAAAAAATTGAATTGTTCATTTACGTCTCTTTTAAAATAAAGCGTCAAGGAATCAAACAAACTGTATTATTTTGTATTTTTATTAACATTTGCAATATTGTTATAATAATACAAAACAAACAATGTATTTTTGAATAAAATAAACCATATTACTTTCAAAAATAGTAAAAATTATCTTTAGATAATCTTATTAATGAAAACGATTATTTAAAATACGATAATAATCAGTCAAAATAATAATTACTCGTTGAATTGAAAACGAATAAATATATTAGTACAGCTTACAATTTGTTTCATTTGCATGTAAAATATATAATTGAATGGTTTTGTTGTACAATTATATTAACACAAAGATATATTAATATTGTTGTATTTTGAAGAAAATTAAAAACAACATTGTGTTTGATATAAATCATTTTATTTTTTTTTTCATTTTATCATATGTATAAATAATTGTGTTTTGTCATTTATTTTTTGTTTTTCAAAAATGATAATGTTATTTACCATTTTATTGTTTTTAAGTTTTTTTTAATAACATGATCGTCTGGCAGACCCTGTTTAAAAACAATTTTCTCGTATTTATTTTCTTCATTGTTTTAATTAATTTTTAAAAACTTTGTACCAACTATTTTTGAAATTAATATTTTTTAAATCAACAAATTCAGTCTTGTTGTTGAGTATCATTTTTTTACCACAAAACTTTTTTTTAAAGATGGAATTGTGTTGGCATTTTCAAAAGTCACCATCGTGAGTTTTCCATTGGTAAAAGTTACAACACTCATAACGTTGAATTCATTTTCAAATAACAATTTTGATTGTTGTCAAACTTTCACAAGCACTCATTTAAAGTGTTTTTTTGGAACGTTTTTAAACCCTGAAAAATAACATTTTGATATTTTCAAAATTATTTTAAAAGACGCATGAATATCAGAATTAGTGAAATAAACAAACAATCAAGTTTTCATTTTTAAAGTGTCAATTTGTTTGTTTGTGGTATATATATAGAAATTTTATAACAACGCCAATAATTGACATTTCCAAATTCACAATTATAAAAAATGTAAAACTGAAATTTTAAAAATTATCAATAATACAATTTAAAAGTAAAATATTATTTATTTCAATATTTATAAAACGTATTATTTGATTCTTTGTGTGATTTTCAATAGTTAAGGTGTTTGATGTTTCTAGTTTGAATTATAATATATCCAACTGTCATAATTTAAATATATTAAAAATAAAACAATATATCGTGTCATATGGTATTATAAAAATAAGACAAATGTTAATGTTTGTTTATTTGTTGACACTTTCGACAAATAACAAAACTGTGACATATAATATTTGGGTGAAAATGATAAAAAATATATTAAAACCGTTTTTCTAACCTAAATAAAAAAGTATATTTCAGTCATATTATTTTGCAGTTTAATAAG